CTTTTTCCATCTTGTGACCAAAACTTCCAGTCCTCCTTTTTTTGTACAGCGTCAGCAGCCGAGGTGTATACTTGTTAAGTGCAGAAAAGAAGGAAAATGGCAGATTTTGATTGGTGATTCTGTGGAATTCACTGTAGAGCTGAATGGAAAACAAAAAAACAGATTAGCTGGCATCATCCATTTTCACAGCTGTAAGCCTTGGGAGATGAGGAAAAATATTTCTCAGATATTTTCAAAAATCAGACATACGTGTTAAACTACACATATTTTTGAAACTTTATCTATATATTAAAAGTGTGACAATAATGACTTCCTTTTCAAATTTTACTCACTTGGGCTTCACAAAAGAGTGCAGGCCATCTGTCTTTTAGATCTGCAACAGGGGGAGCTGAATTTACAATTTCTTCACGTCGGAGTGCAAAGGTGTGCAGCATATGTTGATGAATGAGAATCATGTCTCTTTCTATGAATGCCTTCTTAAGCTGCTCCGCAATTTCAAGCCTCTGTGCCTCCATTGTGTCCTTAGTCTGTCCATGGGGATTATTAGGAAGGAAGTTAATTTCCCCTCTTCTTGGTCTTTTAATGGCCCTGGATGCTGCACCCTCTAGATTGTTCCTGCTGCGCTTTCCTGCATTTACAGCTACATCTTTTATGCCAGCCCTGCTCAGTTTGGTCCTGTAGTTGCCCATCTTGAAACGCAAACTATTTTTCCAACCATCATACCCCGATTTAGAACCGTTTTGGTCACAAGACACGGGTGTTTACTCACAAGAGCTTCTGCAGCTTTGCCTAGCTCTCTAAGTTTATAGATTTCAGCAGCCATTACATCCAATATGTTGTGTTTCTGATCCCTGGTCAATTTGATAATTTCCCCCTCTTTCACAAATGCAGTGTTACCCTCTCTGAGAGCATATTCCACCTCATATGAAAATGTTGGAATTATAAATACTTCTGGCCACCGACAAAGGCGCTCTGGCGAATTAGTATTATCAGACAGTAACACAGTGTCACCTGTACTGTTTGAACTGACATCAAAATCAACTAATTTAACTATCTTAATTGATGCTTTGGATGGTAGATCTTCTATGTTAACTAAATTAAGGCATTGTCGAATTCTGGGTCCTGAAACTGAAGGCGAAAATCATAGGTCAAGTTCAACTTATTTTTCACCTCAAATATGAGGGCATTTACAGTTTCAGGACGTGAAGGCAAAGTAAGCCTCTCAGCATTGAGGTCATCAAGGATGACCCTGAGTTTCAGAACATCAGTTGGTTCCATTTGCATTGGGCCTGCACCTGTAACAAAAAAAAACAAAGAGCTGCTGCCAGTGTTTACTATATGACCACTACACTAGTAAATGACCTCAGCTGTTATTGCTTTATAACCTTTGAGACGGACATCCTATAATGCATGGGTCACACTGTAAAACAGATTACCTTTAAATACCTTGACTGTCTTGTCCAGGAAAGCTTCCTTCTAATCCCAAAAAAGTTACACTTTTAGTCTGACATAGGAATGAAATGTTTAGTTGTGAGAATTAGCTTACCTGACAATTTATAGGCAAAAAATGGCATTTGATCAGTTAGCTGACACACTGATTTCACTGTATGGCCTTCATGATCTGTTAACTCATATGACCGCAAATGCTCAATATACCAGGTGTATCCAATGAGTAAAATGTTCTTTATCTCTTTAAACTCAGGTAAGGCAGCATGTAGTCCAGTGCAGACAAACATGCCAACCACAAAATTCGTGCCTTCAACAGTTGCCTGTTTTGTGCCATACACAATACTGCTGTTTGTGAGGCTTGAGATGAACATGTGGGTATCGGTGGGCAAAGATGTTACAAAGAGAGATTCCATTTTTGAAATCTGAAGTGGTGGCTTCAAAAATCTTGGCGATGAGAAATAGAAGGCCATCATTTTTTGGTGTCTCTCTGCCAAGGTTTTCAGCACATTTTTGTAGTTATGAGTGTCATGTATAATTTTCTTAAATACTTTGTGCTTCTCCTCAAATCTCATTGTCCAGAGATGCACCAGAGGACCAAAGCACTTTATGAGATGTGGATAATGTTCAATATAGTGATGCTTTGGTCATAATTGTAAGCTGGGGAAGACTTCCTGAAACAGTTGTCTGTGATCTGAAATCTTACAGGCCATGTACTGAATGGTTTCATCTGTGAAAGAATGAGACAAAGCAAGTTCAACTATGTCCTTCAAGTTCATTAGTACTTCCCATAATTTATCCCCCTCTGGTACTCTTGAACCTATGAGAACAGGAAGCAGTCTGAGTAGTGTATTGTTCTCATGCCCATTCCCACCAACCGTTCCTCGAGTGGCAAAATTTTGAGGAATTGGGTGAGGGCGGTCAACTTTGTCAGTATGCTGGTATGGAAAAGATATTATTACCCTATTCAAGTTATCCAAAGTAAAATATCTCTTTGCAATCAAACCTTTCAAACAATATGCCAATTCCACAGGTATCACACCTTCAAACAGGTCATGCAAGATGTCTGGTGGAAATCCTGTGATAGGATGGAAATGAGAAAGATGGTCAGAGAGAACACAACTGTGATTTACACCATACATCTCATCACTGCTGTTTTCCTGAGTTTTTTGAACAAGGTTATCATGCAGATCTTTGGTTCTCAT